TACCGTTTCTGCTTGCCAAGTAGAAGGTCGCGAGTTCGATCCCAACCTCAATCCATTTTTATTTATTTTCTACGCCTAATTAATTTAAATCGCTCACAACAACCAATTCATCAATCTATCGAAAAGAATAGCTCAGCATCCTTTCCATCGAAATTAGAGAGATGGAGAGGTAACATTTATCTCATGTAAAACAACTATGAATGACTTGAATAAGCTAGAGTTACGGCTGGGAGTGCTGATAGGTATTCAGATTCAAGCTGTTATTGCTTATTTAGCTACGCATATTTATGATGTATTCTAGGATAGCTCAGATGGCAAGGCAAGCGGCTGGTGATCGGAAGGTCATGGTTCGAATCCCATCTAACGACATTGTGTGTATGTATGTATGTAATAAATTTTCTAGTATATGTGTGGTGGGTGGATGCGTGTTTTGACAGAAATAATGACACAAGAATCACTAACGAGAACAACCTTGCTCTGGCCGTTCTTATTTTCGGATTAATTATCCCATAGTTGTATAATCGTTTAATAAATGTATAATGGCGTCTAATTAAACACTATTTCACATGAGAATCAAGCGTCTATATAATACACCTTTATACCATCACTGTTTAAGGAAGGAAGTAATGAAGTCTAATATACACTGAATAATCAAAAATTTGATCGAATAAGCTCTGTTACAACTTGTAAGTAGAATAAAAGCTTCTCGACATACCTTATTCAACACCAAATATTTCGATTTTGTGGTTGAATAAATTCTGCAGATTTGTGGGAACAAAGCCTGAACAGATGTTATAATTAAAAATAGTACAAGTATTATTAAGCATGCAGCTGAATAAAATCGTCAAGAAGTAATTTCTTCAATATAGGCAATTGTTTGTTGTGCAGTTAGTTCAAAAAAGGTTAACGACGACCACTTTACAGGAGTCCTACAACCGATTCAAAGAATTAAATAGTGAAGTACAAGTTGGGTTTTCAACCATTGCGAATCTCAGGCCTAAGAACTGTAAATTGTTAACTAGTTCAGGGACACATAATGTGTGTGTGTGTACTCTTCATGAAAATGTTAATTTTATCGTTCACATTCCAGTATAAAAATCGGAAAAAAATCTAGTCTTTGCCAATTTAAGAATAAATATGGAACTCCGTCGTTGAATGGCATTTCTTCGCAACATCGCATGGAAAAGGTCCATGTGATGCTTTAGAAGCTAGTCTAGCTAGAGAACGTGAACATCCGATAGAAAAAAATGCAAGGGACCTAACGGGTGCTCAATAAAAAATGAGAATGATTTCAGTGCCGTCCAGCGCTCTTGTGAGAGCATCGCGACTAAGTTCCGTCGTACGGCTGACCAGGACCCCTTCTCCAATATTCATTGGCAACACAATTAATCATCAATAAAAAAGCAAAACGAGCAATAAAAAATCTCAAATCAGCCACTAAATACTAAAGGGCTAAAAAAAAAAGTTGCAATAGAAATGAAGAAAAAAGCAATAAACAAATAAAAAGCTTCTTTTAATAATTTGAATGTGAAGTGAATGTGATGTGAATGTGATGTGAATGTGATGTGAATGTGATGTGAATGTGATGTGAATGTGATGTGAATGTGATGTGAATGTGATGTGAATGTGATGTGAATGTGATGTGAATGTGATGTGAATGTGATGTGAATGTGATGTGAATGTGATGTGAATGTGATGTGAATGTGATGTGAATGTGATGTGAATGTGATGTGAATGTGATGTGAATGTGATGTGAATGTGATGTGAATGTGATGTGAATGTGATGTGAATGTGATGTGAATGTGATGTGAATGTGATGTGAATGTGATGTGAATGTGATGTGAATGTGATGTGAATGTGATGTGAATGTGATGTGAATGTGATGTGAATGTGATGTGAATGTGATGTGAATGTGATGTGAATGTGATGTGAATGTGATGTGAATGTGATGTGAATGTGATGTGAATGTGATGTGAATGTGATGTGAATGTGATGTGAATGTGATGTGAATGTGATGTGAATGTGATGTGAATGTGATGTGAATGTGATGTGAATGTGATGTGAATGTGATGTGAATGTGATGTGAATGTGATGTGAATGTGATGTGAATGTGATGTGAATGTGATGTGAATGTGATGTGAATGTGATGTGAATGTGATGTGAATGTGATGTGAATGTGATGTGAATGTGATGTGAATGTGATGTGAATGTGATGTGAATGTGATGTGAATGTGATGTGAATGTGATGTGAATGTGATGTGAATGTGATGTGAATGTGATGTGAATGTGATGTGAATGTGATGTGAATGTGATGTGAATGTGATGTGAATGTGATGTGAATGTGATGTGAATGTGATGTGAATGTGATGTGAATGTGATGTGAATGTGATGTGAATGTGATGTGAATGTGATGTGAATGTGATGTGAATGTGATGTGAATGTGATGTGAATGTGATGTGAATGTGATGTGAATGTGATGTGAATGTGATGTGAATGTGATGTGAATGTGATGTGAATGTGATGTGAATGTGATGATCTAATAATTTCACCGCTCACATTCAAATTATTAAAAGAAGCTTTTTATTTTTTTATTGCCTTTTTCTTAATTTCTATTGAAATTTTTTTTTTTTTATTGGTGCACCCCTGTAGTATTTAGTGACCAATTTGAGATTTTTCATTGCTTGTGCTTTGTTAATTAGGGTACGTATATATTTTAGTCATATTCATTGACGTTTTTTTTTTTTTGAAGAATAAACATTATGTTTTTAATAAAAAATACTGAATTCGTTGAAAAAAAAAATTTTAAGCTATATGACTGAAAAAATTCTCATTTTTATTTGAACACCCGTTATACGATTGGGCTCAGAAGCGAAACGAGAATCAGCTGACTCAAATGTTCTTTTGTTGTGCAAATACTGCAGAATATGAAACTCATAAGCACGAGCTCAACGAACAATACTCAAGGGCTATAACCATTCAAGGAACTCAAAAATACCACTCATTTATTCCAATTTCTGAAAGACAAATAGAAGTCAGTCACTTTTCAATATGACTAAGAATTAAAGTATGGATTTCTATTACAACTATAGCAATCTAACAATGTAAAAATAAATTAAATCATTCTCGAAAAACCGCAATTATAAGTTCTTTGCATATGCTAACGAGCGAAATATGTATTTGCAAGACAATAAATTGTTTTAAAACATACACATTCCGGATAATTAAGATCATATTGATGAGCCACCAAGAGCATTTTCATTGTAAAATTTTCTGATCTTTCGGAAAATAAATATATTTTCGGAACTAGAGAACCGCGAAATACATTTAGAAATGGCCAAAAACTACCAACATTTTAAAAATATCTACTTTCAAACCGCCACATCTCGAAAACGGTGTGACTTAGCAAAATTTTACTTAGGCGCTTGTATATTGTAAATTTGGTGTCCTTTCATTATACAAAGTCGAAACAGTAATGTAACCATGTTCTAGATATTTTTTTTTCCAAAATGAGTATTTTAAAAAAATCAGAACTTTTTTGTCCATCATCTCTTCATCTTGACCTATAGTGCAATAGGTGGTATTTTTTGTTCCCTAAAACATATCAACAAATAAAAAAAAATACAAAAAATGCTTTTATGAGAGAAATTGTTTTCAAGACTTTATTTGAAATTAAAAAAAAAGTTGGGTATTTTTTTAGAGTGCACATTTTTTCAAATAGTCTCATCTATTACCTTCAATAGTAAAAATGAAAAAAAACTATATGCCCTTTTCAAAAATAAAACTGGTTTCAAAATGGTGATATGAAGATACAAAATGGCATTGTCGGTCATAAGGAACGTTTCCGCAAATTTTCAACCAAATCAAAAAATACAAAAATAAACCGATTTGCAAATTCATAGGGAATGCTCTATACAACAAGAAGTGTTTTCGCCTCAGAAAATCCTAAGGTCCAAATCCGTTCGTCTGGGATTTAATACAGACCCACTGGGTTGAGAAAACAGTCACGCTATTACCTTATCAGTAAATAAATTATCATGGACTTGGACATTTTTCGGGGAACAATTTCGTAGTAGGAAACTTGGTGTAACTTTCTAAACTTTTCCAGATCTCCTTCTAGCGAGTTTGAAAATTATAGTATGAGGTGAGATATAATAACGAAATCTAAAACATATGAAAAGTGTGGAACTGTATGAAGATCTAGTTCCTACTTCTAGCTCACCGGAAAAAAATAATCATGATGGCCTAAATTCTGATATCCAGCTGCACGTTTCATCCGCAGTGACATCCCTAGCCCCCACAGTAAGCAGCGATTATAGTCGGAAAATACGGTCCTCTTATACTAGGCTACTGGTTTTTCTCCAGCATTATTGGGTGCCCAAAGGCACACCGAACCCTTCAACGCCATGAGCAACCAAACCTCACGTGCTAGCGTGAGTGGAAAGAAAAATAAAGCAGCAACAACATCATCGGTGCATCATCATCGCCATCATCATAATCGAAAATGCACCTCTTTTTTTCCAGCTAGTTTGGTCGATTGTTTGTTTACCTACACACGGTAGATACCGAACCAACTAAAAACAAAGTCGTCACGCGAAAGGCTCCAACCACTCGCAACCAACCTGCGCTGACTGTTATCCGCATACTTCCATTTCGTTTCCTCGCGTGGTTCAGCCGGAAAAAGAAAATTATCGGAGTAGTTAAGCCCGAAGAAAAGCGAAAGTACACCCGTGAGGCTTCAGAGCTTAATTAGTTTGTTAAAATTAAAACCTTTTACCAGCAGATCGCCCAGTCAAGTCTTTCACGCACACCAACATTGCGAATTCACACACGCACACCATCGAACAACGATCGTCCGAAAACTTGATTCCTTGCTGGAAAAACTACCCCACCGCCCAAAAGGAGGCAACTGGACAAATTTCCGCTCGCTATGCTTGGATTGTTTAATTAATATATAAATAGATATGGGCCCTGGAAAATTGCAACCAGTAAACTTTCTTCTCTCAAACCATCTATACGTGTATCGCAATGAAGTTTACGGTAAGCTGAGGATTGGATTGTGCTTTTTATGGTGATAGAATGTGGGCTGTGAATAATTCTGCAGTGCTGTCGGTGAAGAATATTAAGAGTTGCCAGTTATTGAAATTCATGGACATTTTGTGGGCAAATATGTGAATGTTCAAGGACAATTGTGAACTGTTTTGGCGATATGAGCATCGGTACCAAAAACTGAACGGACTTCATTAGTTTATTATATTATTGAATAGCAGCGTTGAGCAGCAGAGTGTTGAAAAATAGTGAAAGCAACAGTAGCCGCAAAAGAGTGAAAAACTAAACATTTGGCACCAAAAAACGTTATTGAAAAATGTGAAGTTTTTTGCTAAACAAGTGCAATGACTGGGCTGAGTACCAAAGGGATACTCAGCGCGTTGATTGATATATACATATATATATTTGGTCGAAAATTAAGGATCAGAAAGCATCCTGGAAAGGTTTCATACGGACAATTAAAAAAAAACATACCGATGATTTCAAATCAGATTGACACAAAACTATCATTAGTCAAACATAATATAACAAAATCTGATAACTATAACTCTTCACTGGGGCCTTCATCGAAAATTCGAAACGTAGGGCAGTATAGTAAAGATGTATTTTCATTATGCATGCCTGCAACGCTTCCCATTTACTTCCAGTTGTTAGAAACCAAATCCATTCAGGAACCATAATAATAAACTAATCAGTATTGAGTCGTAGATTGTGAATTTGTTAAGCATATGATGAAAAGAGTGCTACTGAAATAATTAATATATTCCCAATAGACTGATGCAAAAATTGGGTCCTGAATCATCCAAATAGAATTTCTTAAATGACAATACACGATTTGAATTTCTAAATTGAGTCTCATTTTATGATCGAATGAGCTTGAACATTATCCATTGAAAGTAACTGCATGATATTGCTATTATTTCACAGATTTGAAAATATTATCTTTATTATTCATGATGATTAGTTAAAAGCATTGTTTTAGAAGCAAAATTCAAAATTGCGGAAAACGATCTAACAACGCTAATATTACCTCATATATTCTAATAAATTACAAAGCACGACCATAAGCCAACACTTTTGGATCTCTGCTAGTGCTCTAATTTTTTAAAGACTGAACAGTCATTTCCAGCACATTAAACGTATTTTCTCTATTGGATTACACGTTCACAATCACAATCACAAATCTTATAACAATGCATGCAGAGTCTGAATCGTTTATTACCACAGATTTAGTTAAATCGTATATGAGAATGAAATTCATCGCATGATCTTAAATTGGAATCAAATACAAAGCTTCAAAGCAATTTTGTATCGCACAGTAGTAAAATTAATTTTGATATGATCGTAAGTACACTACCTTAACTTAATGTGTTATTACTGATTAAATTGAGTTGACAAATCTAATTGAAAATTAAGTTAATTAGCCCTCTACAGCCCAACATTCTTTCGAAAGGACCTGAAGTAAATATGTGAAAATGGAAAGCATAATTTTGATCTAGATCAATTGAGCTTTTTTTAGAGCAGTTTAAATAAAATTAATTTGTTTCTATTTTCTCAAAACCGATTGCATGATTTTCAATAAAACCTAATGGTGATAGGGTTAACTACCCCATTTCCGGCCTATTAAGCAAAACCCACACTTAGTCCTTCTTAATCTAGCGCAGCTTAGCATCAAATAGAATGTTATTATTACTGATGGCTTCCAAATTTATTTACCTTTCCGTATGTACCGTAAGATTTGATAAAGAGAAACCAATCGTTGAGATATTGTCAAAAGTCTAACACTGCTTCTTGACGCCAAACTCGGCCTACGGATTCTAAACTCGGCCTAACGCATTGAAATGCTATTGAAACGCCAATGAATTCACCTCGGCCTATCGGATGAAGATAAAAATTGATTCGATCGGAGCGCTTCTTTTGTTTTTGGGAATAATGGATGCAAACCTTCATATCACGCGTTCCCATTGACTTCGTTTGGTAGCTTATTAACTAAAGTATCGTATCAAACGCATAATTGACTTGTGAACTCTGAAATCATGGAGTTATTTGAAATTTTCTGCTCGATAGGCCCAAAATGGGCGATTAGGCCGAAGTAGTTCTCTACACTATGATGATGATAATATGGAACTACCACTTACTGTAGCAAGACAACTGTCGGTAGACTGTGGGCTATCCTCGCTGTTCGACTTGATCAACTTTAATAACCTCTAATTGATCAATTTAGATGGTCAAGTTTTGAGTCCACGATGTAAAATACTGTATGGACGATCAAATGTAAAATACTGTGGTAGCCACTAGTTCTGTCAAAACCTAAGCATTTTCATTGATCCATTGTACTCAACCTCATATTGTATGAAGGACCAAAAACGGGTTGTCAACCTGTCAATTAACAGGCTATCCAACACAAAGATGCCCCAATGAGTGGGGAGAAGAGCCCACCCTCTATTCACAAAATGTTAATTTTCAATAAAACTTTATCAGCTAAAAATTAAATTTAATAGAAAACATAGGCATAAATTTAAAAAAAAATCAGTTAAAGTGTCCGTACCATAGAGTTTTCTTTCTGATAAAAGTATTTTGACGTAGGACTACGTCTGTGATTTCTAAATGGGGGTACACTTTGTGAAAACCGAAAATGGAACATGTAACAAAATTATGAAAGATTTTGAACGTTAATAACTCAGCTGCCCCTGGACCAATTTCAATAATTTTATCAGCAATCGATCAGAAATATACTCATCTGATGAAATTAAGACCTAATAATTTTACAATATGTCAATACTGAAAATTGCACGACTGTACAACTGTTGCTATGATAATTAAAATTATCACCGATTGCCTGCGAAAAGCGATTTCCCTAACATTTCAAAGTTGAATTCCATCCGGTCTCATCGAACGGTGTTTATTCAATCGCCACGAGGTGGGTGGTGGTGTTCTCCAGTACACAACGAAAGGCTCCCCGCCAAGCAGCTAACTATCAAGGCTGCCCCCAACTGCCCAACTTAAATTCAAATCTAAAGGTTCTTTTCAGGGCAATCATACTCATACTAAAGAGTATAAACTGAGAGAACCCCGCTCAAATTCCTATTCCTACACAAAACACAAGCTCCTGCTGCAGTTAACAAATAACATTTATTATGTAAGACCACGTAGTCCTACGTCACCATTACGCACAACCCCATAGGGCTACAAGGGCTGTTCCTTGTAGTTTTTTTTTATCAATTTTACTGAAAATCACTGAACACATTTTTTGCACTTTTACAGACAAACATTAAAAAAATATGAGAATTTCAAACTCGACCTACTCCGATTTGCATTAAACTTTGTTATGGTCAATCATTCACATTTTAATCTCGTAATTAACTTGGTGTATTCGAAATTTTTCATAAAACCATAACGCGAAAAACGTCACTTCCAATCGAAATGACAAAGTTGTAGGAAAAAGTATTTTTTTTTTTCAGAAAAAATCTACGTGGTAAAAAATGTCAAGTAATTTTAGGTGAAAAACCGTAATAAGATCAATATCTTATTATTTACGTGAAACAGCTTGGGGGTGACTTTATCCACGATGCAGGAAAGACAGTGTTTTGCTGTGGCAAGCTGCGCGCACGCTGAGTAGATCGAAAGAAGATTGATGATGATTCTGAAGATTTCCTGCAAAAAGATGATGCGCGATGCAAGTAGATGCTAGAAATGATTTTGATTTTTCGAAGATTATTTTTTGAGCATCTAGAATTTCGATTTAGACGAGTCGCCCCTTCTAGGAACGCAAATGTTAACAAGGTGGTTAAATTTTACTGAATGGATGAGTAATAGGAATTTTCTCATGTCTTTGTTCCACATTTTCGACACTTCTTCTAACATCTGCATTGTAATACGATGGCCTACTTGCCCTACTATGTTTTATGCAGATCTGTTGTCTTGTTTATATTTTACTGAAGGAAGTGTTGCTGCTACCTAAAGCTACAAAAAATTAAACAGCAATTTTCTGTACTAAATATTACCTGCTAATGTTCTACCTTCGATCTTTATTCCTCTTTGAACCTTGTTTGGACCCTACCCGAGGTAATCCTCCTTGTATATCGATTTGGAAAATAAGTCTTCGATCCATCGGATTCTTGTAGTAATCTGCTTGGAAACTTTCTTCTGCCACCATAACACCTAAATGCGAAAGAAAAGGGCAATCTATTGATCCCCCATTTGATTAAAAATAATTTGAGCAATCAATTTGATATGTTCACGGATGATGAGAATGATCCATCATCCAAGATAAATTCTAATAAACTTTCCCAGCTTAGTGCCAAAAATAAAAAAGGTCCCCCCTATTGTGGTATCCACTTCTGATTTCCATGCTCTTCGCACGGAACTTTTGAACTTCGTTAAATTCAAGTTTGACTACAGAATTGACCGTCGGGATGAAATTCGTGTATTGGCTGAAACCTTGGACGGCTTCAAACGTCTTCTCAAGTATCTTACTGAGAAGCAACACAATTGTTTCACTTACGACACCAAAACTGAACGTTCAAGGCTGTCTTGAAAGGTCTGGTCAGTGGTGAATCCCTGGATCAGATCAAAGATTAGCTGGCAAAATTAGTTGGAGTTGTGCCACTCCAAGTAATCAAAATAAAAATGAAATCCCGCCCTGTCGATTCACGCAATGGGATTTCTAATGATTTTCAAATCTAGTGAACTAGACAACCTTAAAGCCTTAGAAAATGCTAGCCTTATGCTCCATGGCCGAGTGAAGTGGGAACACTTCAGAAAGACAGGAGAAAATTTTCTAAACAACACCCAGTGCCGCAAGTGCCAGGGATGGCACTGAACATGCCAGCTAAATACATGAATTGCGGTGGTTCCCCTCACGCAAAGGACGAATGTTCTGTGAAGGAAGAACCTAACAAATATAATTGTTCAAGGTGAAAACCACAAATCCATTTTTTGGAAATGTAAGACTCGCAAAGCGATCTTACAATATCGTTCTAAGCGACAGGTAGGAAACGCTCCACGTTCCCAAACAGGCACTAATTTCTCTGCTGTTAACATCGGTCAGCGAGGAACAAATTCTATATCCGTACCCGTAGATACAAACAGCTCACAAACTATAAATTCTTCATCTACACCGGCGCTAACAATGTTCAGCAAGGGGCTGTTCATAAACTACGTAGACAGCTTAGGGGGGGTCTACGTAGCTAATGAACAGCCCCCAAGTAAATGGAGCTGGTAGAAATCGAAATCAACATTCTAGCCAACAAAATTCTGGCGGAAATTTTGATGATTTTGACTTAGGTAGCGTTACTTCTCCAAAAATGTAATTTTGGCGGGAATCTCGTGCAACACGAGAAAAGGGCCTATCATTGTTGATCGATTCTCTTCATAGATTTTCTCTTTTACGAATTTTACTTTGAGTGTGTTGTTTCAGGCGCAATCTAACATCATCTTCTGTGTGGTAAACCAAAGAGAAAGTCGATGTAGAGAATCGATCAACAAGGATACGCCCTTTTCAAATGTTACGTGAGAAATCATGTATCGACATGATTACTGATATGCTCATCATGTTTGACGCTACACAATATGGAGTTAAATTTGCGAATAATATCGTAATGAATTTGAAATACATGAATAGATTTTAAATCATTAAATATTTTTAATTGGAATGCTCGTCCTCTTAAAGATAATCAAGATGAGCTATTAAATTTTTTAAGTGCATACCGCCGTTATAACTGAAACTTTCCTAGAACCTGACCTTAAGGTTAAAAGGGATTCAAATTATTTCATTTATCGAAATTAGCGTCCTGATGGAGTGGGCGGTGGCGATGCCATCATTGTTCATAGACATATCAAAATTCCTTCTTCATTTGAAATCAAAGTTGTTGAAACTTTGGGAGTATCTGTCGAAACAAAATTTGGACAACGTACGTTTATAGCTGCCTATTTGCTATTCCAATGCGTAGTCCAACAAAAGATTTTCCTCAAGGATGACCTTCAGAAAATTACCCGTCATAGGTCTAAATTCTTCATTATTGGTGATTTTTAATGCAAAACACCGATCATGGAATAATGCTCAAAGCAATCCCAATCGCAAAATTCTGTTTGATGATTGTTCTGCAGGTTATTACACTATTCAATATCCAAACAGCTCAACATGCATTTCTTCAGGAAAAAATCCCTCAACTATTGATTTGGTCTTAACTGATTCATGTTAACTGTTTAGCCAATTGGTTACCCATGCTGACTTCGGTTCTGATCACCTTCCAGTACCTCCAGTTATGGAATATAACTTTGATCCAAACATTCCTTTGCAAATCAAAGATGAAATTAATTCTTTGACTACTTCTATAATTGAAGCAAGAGCTGTCTCAGTACCAAAATACGAGGTTAATTTCGATTCAATTATAATATACGACGATCTTAAGCTCTTGATCCGTCTGGAAAATGTCCGTAGGCGGCATTATCAAAGAACACGCGCTCCTGTCATGAGAGTTATCTGGTGAAATTTACAAAAACAATTTTTAATCGATTATCTGCCCTGAGAAAAAAAAATCTAAAATAATGTTTCGAAATAAGACCCATGTTTTGGAAGCTAACAAAATAAAAAAAAAACTTCAAAAGCCTATTCCAGCGCTTATAAAAGTTGGTACAATTTGGATCACAAATTCGTAAAAATCTCAGAAACTTGCTAAGCAATTGGAAAGTTCCCATTATTTCAGTTTGGGTCGGATGTCGTATCGATAGATATGATCCGATAATGTCGATACTATCGATATTTGTTCACCCCTATTTGAAACGTTTTTTTTTTTATTCTTCATTAATGAGATTTTACGCCGTAAGCTTGTTAATATCAGCCTATTTACAACGCTATTTTAAGATTCTAAAGGGAATTAACGTCATTTTGAGGCCATTTTGGTACATTCGTCAGTTTTTTTTCGGCATCTACACTTCTTTAAAGTTTTTGGTGAGCATGGGTCTTCGAATCAGTATAGGACGCTAACCTTATATAGACCCATACAGATAAATGGCAAACGTATTAGTAAATTGTACTTTCATAGATTCCAAATAAAATATCACAAACTAACAACGAAGATACGACAATTTGAACTGTTGCAATTTGCATTTTCCGATAACCACGTTGTAGGAATCGCTAACCTTTTCCCATCCTTCCTTCGCAGATACTAGCCGCCTCCCTGGCCGTGGTTTGTACGGCCACACTTGCACTAGAGTCCAAACCGGCAGGTTACGCCGTCCGAGACGGGCAACTTGAACAGACCCCGGCCGAAGATCGGCAATGGAAGGTACGGGAGAAGCCTCACACCGGAAAAAAGATTCATATTTTCCTCGGAAAATCGGGTGGAAAGAGCAAAAAGTCCGGCAGCAAAAAGCACGCGGACAGCGATGGAGCGGAAACGCAAACGCGTAAGACTCCAGAGTTGACAACCCGATCGGACAAGGCTGAAGACCTGGCCGCATCGGCCACTTCCGACGCGCCAGACGCTGCCGTTGGCGAAAGCCAACACTACGAGGTACCTGAGCACAACATCGTGAAGGAGAAGATCAAGATCAAGCACCACCACCACCATCATCATCACAATCATGTGAAGACGGTTGTCAAGAAGGAACCTTATCCTGTGGAAAAGGTGATTCAGGTGCCGGTCGAAAAAATCGTTCACGTCCCCAAACCGTACCCAGTGGAAAAAATTGTAGAAAAGGTCGTTCACGTACCGGTCGAAAAGATTGTCCACGTACCAAAACCATATCCGGTGGAGAAAATTGTCGAAAAGATAGTTCACGTGCCCAAGCCATACCCAGTAGAGAAAATCGTCGAAAAGCCAGTTCACATCGCAAAGCCCTACCCGGTAGAAGTTAAGGTTCCGTATCCAGTTGAAAAAATCGTTCACGTCGACAAACCGTACCCGGTTGAGAAGATCGTAGAGAAAATAGTTCACGTTCCAAAGCCGTACCCCGTTTACAAACAGGTTCACGTTCCATACGAGGTGAAGGTGCCATACGAAGTACCCAAACCGGTTCCCTACCCTGTCGAAAAGAAGGTTCCCTATCCCGTGGAAGTGAAAGTACCATATGAAGTCGAGAGAAAGGTGCCTGTCCCAGTGAAAGTGGAAGTCGAGAAAAAGATTCATGTCCCTGTGAAGGTTTATGTACCGTATGAAAAGAAGGTTCCCTATCCAGTCCCAGTGAAGGCATCGTCCTCATCCTCGTACCAATTTCAATTCGACAAGGACATGGGATATGCTTCAACCAAACTGCATCCGTTCGAATCGCAGCAGCATGAAGTAAAGCATTACGGCGACGAATACTCCAACGGAGAGGAAGGCTATAGAAGAACTACCAAAACTACTTACAAGAAGAACAAGGCAAAAAAGAACAAGAAAAATGAGGACAACCGGCAACAGCAACAACAACATCAACATTCCCAGCAACAAACTGCACCAGTGACTGAAGATCATAATGATAATCATTCTGGACTGTCCAGCTCTTATGCTACTAGCGGAAGCTCGGAAAACTCTCAGCTACATCAGAACGGTGCCCACTATTCGCACACCACCATCTTCACTCATCCGCCATCGCCTGCCCACACGCAGCAACAGCAACAACATCATCAGCAGCACCAACAACAACACTATCAACACCAGCAACAGTACCAACATGAACAGCAACAACAACAACAACAACAACAACAACAACAACAGCAACAACATGAACAGCAACAACAACAACAACAACAACAACATGAACAGCATCAACAACAACAACAACAACAACAACAACAACAGCAATACAATAGTCAGGAAAGTACCAACTACTTCAACCAACAGCTTCTTCAATACAGCCAACAGCCCAAATACGGACCATCGACGTTCCCTCAGCAAAACGACTACCAATCGCAGGCGGCTAGCCAAGAGAACCACTACAATCATGCCGATCACTACGGATCGGGCACTACTCAGCAGGAAGTGATCGTGACCCCACCGGCGGCCACCGGTCAGCTGACCTTCGATATGTCACACCAATCTATGCCGCAAGCATTCGCCCTCACAGCCCCTTCCAATCCGGGTGGAACGCTGCAGCTTGAATCCCAACCTCAGCCCTTCCAACTCGTCCAGTTTTCGCCGTTCCAGTTCCAATCTCCCACCGGATTCTCCCTGCCAACCGCTAGATAATAGATTCGACCGCCGCGCAACGTGGTAGAATGCTTCGTGAAAAAAAGACTGCAAATCAACCCCCATTCCTCTGCACGGTTACCAATTCGGAAGGAATCCCTCCGTCATTATGAACTATTTATAGGCATTGACTAGCGTATTTTGTAAAACTTAAGCTCTGTCTGTGGACATCTATTTTTGTAAAATAGTATTTTTGTTGAATCGTTTTCTAGTGCCCCTAGTGATTAAGTTCTTTAGCAAGGTCGGCTGAACTTCAGAACCGCAGGCTAAATAGTGACCAACGGATGATGATGACTGGCACTAGTTGGCTGACCTTGTGCTGGTTTTAATATTGATAAAATCATACCAAAGCTCATTATCAATGTAAGCGTGATATTAAGATAATTTTCTTTTCTCGGCTGCGTTATTTTCCTGCCAAAAAAAATCAAAAAAGGAATCACATAGAAATACCCGTTTAAACATTAGACACGCAAAACAATCTAAGCTAGATCTGAACATCATTTATACACATTTATGTTTCGGCAGCATTCGGAAAGGAGAATATCGCCTTGAAAAGAGAACTTACGAATAGCAAATCTTTGTGTACATATTATACTTCCTTCTATTGAAGAAACTGTTTGTGGTAAGGCAGATTGATGCTAATCGTTGCAAATACATACGAAAATCGAAAGTAGTTGATCTTTGTGTTGTCTCATTACTGCAGAAGAAGTCCTTGTGGTAAGTATGTTTAATCCACCTTCAGGTTCTTTGTATTTATTTTGGAGCCTACCGAATAATCATTTACAGTTCTATATCAGTTTATCGCATCTAATCTTATATAACACCAACACATCTACACACTTAGAAAAATTGATGTAAATTTAGGTGCTCTGAGACTGACATATACGAGCGTCAATTTTGACATAAATTTGAGTCATAATAGACGCGAAATTCAGCTCAATCAAACGTACTTTCGAACTTTTCACTCTCGGAGAACTTAACTTTACATGACATGTTTGTTTACGTTTCATCCTACATGTCAAAGATGGATTTCGTCACGTGTAAGATTAAGTATTTCTAAGTGTGTAGTTCTTGAAATCATCCTGGAAAATGATTGATATACTTGCATAATTTTTTCTTGTCTATTTTATATAGGGGAAATGGCTCTAATGTTGGCCTATGGATCAAAGATTGGGCCCATCGCTAAAAATCTGCTATTTATCAATTTTATCTACACACTTAGAAAAAATCATGTAAATTTAGGTGCTCTGAGACTGACATATACGAGCGTCAAATTTGACATAAAATTGTGTCATAATAGACGTGAAATTAAGCTCAATCAAACGTACTTTTCGTCGAGTAACGAACTGTTCAGTCTCGGAGCACCTAATTTTACATGACATGTTTGTTTACGTCTCTTCCTTTATGTCAAAGATGGATTCCGTCACGTGTAAAATTAGGTATTTCTAAGTGTGTAGATGAACATGTCATTGGGACGGTACTTGTGGATATTTTTGGTCGCTATTGAAAATTTAGTTGATTGCTGAATTTATGTATGGGCCCAAATTAGGGGCGCTTTGGCCGACATTACATCCATTTCCCCTATGTTTCACATCGAAGATGCGTCACACATACCAAAACGGCCAGGCCTGTGCAGCATTTAAGGGGCAAGATGATTCAGAAAACATCGGGCCGGTTTAATCGAGAAAACATCGGGCCGGTTTAATCGAGAAAACATCGGGTCTGGCATCGTGACACGATGCTTTAGAATCCAATAGATGAAACGTGGACATCTCGTATCGTACGTTCCGTTTTTGGAAATTATATGATTGGTTAGTGGTTGGAAGTATGTAAGCTAGAAAGGTTGTCCTAGCCTTATATGGCTTATGGTTAATATATAGCCTTATATGGCTTATGGTAAATCTTTCAGAAAGTGAGTAATGGCGCTATAACCATTGGTTATAGCGCCATTACTCACTTTCTGAAAGATAAGAGGAAAGTAAAAGGTAAGGAAAAGGAGAAGGACAAAGGGATTATGTTTATATGCACTCTATGAACATAAACGAAGGTGGCCACTACCCGAGTCTTGTAACCTCGTAACAACGACCAAAATGTATTCCCTTGATTACTGCAAAATTCTGTTCCCCTAGTTTGAAGTTGTCAGGACTAGGGTTTGGCGATAGATCTTATACCAGTAACGAACCACGAAAAGGTTATCTACCAAAAATGGACAAAAAGGAACGAGCTCAGCAAGGTAGCTTGACATGTGTTGATGCTCTAGTTCGTGATGCATAAGAGAAACAGATTTGAGTTATGATCAAAACTTATAGCTAATAACAAAAGCTACAAAAGCTCCCTACATCATTTTACGAAATGCTGTTGATGAAAAAAGTTAGAGGCAAATGAATGTAAATGAATGTATAAAATGAATGCAAATGATTTGCCATGCCTGATTGCACCTGAAGATTAAATTTAATATAATTAATTTGACAATATGAAATCAATAATTTGTGTGCTAAAACTACGAAATAGCACAATCTAGTTTTTGGTGCAACTGGTATAAAAAAGTGCTAGTCCAAGATGATTCAGAATCATAACCTTTGAATACAACAAAGATGGTAGAATCGGATCTTCAACAAGGTTGGTACACAGAAAAAAAAGTGGTTGAATATTACATCGAAACAGCACAGAGGTCATTTCGCTGGTATTGTAATATTACCACAGACAAACATACACAACTCTTAGAAGATTTTTTTTTTTCATAAAATATCGTCAATCGTATTTTGTATACACACTAGCACCCTCTATCTTGCACATTCCGAAGCATTGATTTGCAACCGGAGCATCCCTCGCCTATGCATTTTTTTCACTACTTGCTTTTCCCTCGGTCTGTCAACGCGTCAGCTGTGTTGAATAAAAACTAAGAGGAAGAGGTGACAGTGGGCTTCTTCCTCTTTAATTTCTATCTCTATCTCTATCTTTATCTATCTCTATCTCTATCTTACACACATGAAATCGGCCAATCAGGAGCTGGTTCACGTTTAACAGAAAAGTGGTTCATTTTCACCCCCGTATTGTCACCTCTTCTCTTAGAATAAAAACAAAACAAAGGCAAGTCAGTGATGCCGGTTCTACGAAACGTTCAGTATTGATTGAATTTAGCAGAAAAACTGATCCGTAGGACAGAAGCTCAGTCTATTTTTAAGGATTTGTTTTGAATGATTTTTATGTTGCTGGAAACACGCTTTTAAACGTGATAATGTATCACCTTTCTACAACCGCCCATCACTTTAATATGCACACAGCAAACAAATATAATATGTATCAATCAATGTTATTCATTATGATGTATTGAAGTCATTGATGGTAAAGGTGGATACAATATAACACTCATGAAATTGATCTGTTGGTAAATAATAGCACAGTACAAGCGGAACGACCAACGTGCAGCTTTTCGAATGTAATATTCAATGCATTCCTGACGTTGCTGAAAATTACGATAGCATCAGATTGCGGGCTCGACTGGCTCGAGACATTTTTAGATTCTAGTAAATTAAATATACTTGCGGGTGATTTTAACATTAATTGGCATGATACTAGCAATTCGAATCATCTGAAGCAATTAGCTGATTTCTTTAATTTAAAACAATTAGTAAGTGAATATATGCGTATTTCCCGGCACAGTAGAACTTTGATTGACCATGTTTATTCTAATTTTGATTCTATCAGTTCAGTTACTCAAGCTGATTTGAAAATAACCGATCATGGAAGTTTAGTGATTAATGTCTTAGACCATGTTAACGATAACGATAATTTTGTAAAATTGAAGTGCTGGAGGATTGGCACGACTGTACCGACAAGCTCACTTGGGGGTTCGGATTCACTGATCCGGAAGTTTCGACGGCAATCAACGTGGATGGATTCGGTTGTTGGGACAGCTGACCAGATATAGTTACTGGACTGGATTGTATCTTCAGGGTTGAAGTTTCGTGCAGCAGGGTATGGTGTTTCTGGTGACAGTTTTGGCAATCGTACTTGGATGTACAATTCCTACTTTGGTGTCCAGAGCGGAAGCAATTCCAGCATAGGCGCTTCTGGGATACCAGCTCTCATCGCTGGCGAACGGACGAATCACATGGTGAAACTCCTGGATCCAGTAGACGAAAGCCAACCTCCCACACCATCCGGTGTTCAAAGAATCCAGCACCACCACGAAGGTTCGAGTTGTGTTCGATGCGTCGTGCAAGACGTCATCTGGATTCTCCGTGAACGACCTGCAACTAGTTGGACCCGTCGTCCAGGAAGACCTACTGTCAATCCACATTAGATTCCGCATCCACCAAATCGCATTCGTGGCCGATGTGGCCGCCGGTATTAACTGATCCTCTGGCGTCCCAGTCCAGACCAACCAATCGCTACGTACGAGCTGCAAACAGTAACGTATGGTTTTGCATCCTCTCCATTCCTGGCAACCCGCACTATCGTCCAGATTGCGCAAGACGCAGTCGAGAACTATCCAGCCGCAGCCACGGTAGCCCAGAAGGATTTTTATGTAGATGACTTCCTGTCTGGTGCCGACAATGTTGATTCATGTTTCCTCGTGGAAGTTTCCTGATGTTCCGTTAGCTGATCCAAGTTTTCACATTCCAGCCGACATCGACCTGATTATCGGTGGAGAAGTGTACCACGAAATGCACACTGGCAGTAAGATTTCTTTCGGTGAAGGGCAGCCAGTATTCGTCGAGACCTCTTTCGAATGGACTGTTTCGGGAAAGGTATCCATCAAATCACCTGAAGTTCCCCGTGTTTGTCACCTCACCACTGTGGACCGTAATCTGGAACAAGCCCTCCAGAAGGTCTGGGAGTTAGAAGCAGTTGAATGCTGTTCCAAGTTTACGGCAGAAGAAAATCTCTGTGAAGAACTGTATGCCACTAACACCACTCGCGATTCGTCGGGTCGTTATATCGTTTCCTTGCCAGCAGCGTTGCCAGTATTCCAGATTTATCTGGATTTTCCAGATTTTTAGTCGTCTTGCCAGATACACAGACAGACCACGTATGTTTCCAGATTTTTTAAATATGTTCCAGATTTTCCCAGATTTTTTAAACATGTTGCTTTAAAAATATCACTACAATTGATTTACCCTCTAATAAAAAAATAAAAATCCAAACTTGCTACTTTAATTATTAAAGGCCATCAACGTTGGACATTAATGGAATTTGTAGGTAATTCACAGTGAAGTGTGAGGCGATTTCTTTGTGTAATCAAAGGAGAACTTCAAGCTAATTCTGAGAAGAGTTCCATCCATCTTTTTAGCCTTCGTGGTCGTGCGGCGTCACCCGTCGTTTAGGCGTATTGTGAGTGCCACGAAGTAAGGGCTCGACTCCCGCTCCAGCCGGTGCAAAATTAGACAACCAGAATATTTCTCTACTGATCTACTGGGTGTGGTGTGTTGTCCGTTGTTTAGTGTTAAATATTCAGTCTGTGCAACCTCTGGTTGAAGACGGTGTCAATTGTCTTGTCAACTCTGATGACAATTGCATGGAGATTTTGTGAATATAGGAAATACAATCCGGAAGAAAAATCATAGAAAATTCTAATGATGCAACTTAAGGAGTATGCTGATACGAATCGTAAGAATAATTTCAATTGATTTCTGTCCAATGTTTCTATGGAGAT